TATCTATCTATCTATCTATCTATCTATCTATCTATCTATCTATCTATCTATCTATCTTCCTCCACATTAAACCATCCATTTCGTGACTATTATTTACAATTATTTTTGCAGTTACTCGTATCTGGCTTTCTCTTTAGACTAGATGCTGCATGAGGGAAGGGAACATATTTGATTCTGCACACTGGAGCACTGGAGTATCTGGGCCAGTTGGTACAGTATTTAGTTGCCAGTAGGGTCTTTGTTTGGTCTGGACGAAGAGCCATTTGTGGACTCTCAGCAAATAATGACGCGAGCCATGTGTCATCAGTTTCATGTCTTTTTCACAAGGACATATGGAGACAGGTGCTATTTTTCCCAGGAAGCTCGGACAGAAGAAGCTCACTAACTTGCCCTCCTTCTCAGGTAGGCCTGCTGGTGTTTCTCCTCCATGCGCTTCAGGCAGAGGTAGCCAAAGCGAGCAAGGCAGATGGAGGACTGCTTCAGAGAAGAAGCTATAGAAAACCAAGACCACAGTGGAGCTCCTCTTCTTGGAGAGCAAGGGACCGGGGATAATACAGGACACTTCAGACTGTGACTGCTGTCTGCTCACTGGCCCTGGACACCTCCTAGAACCTGCTGCTTCCATCTCCACTCAACTAATGCTGGCTGAAATAACCTCGTGATCCTTAATGCCTTCCCTGTGTCATGACTTCCTGTAGCTAACACTGACCCTGGCCTTTAGTGTGTTTTGAGTTTTAACTGGACTCACTTATAGCTTAGACTCCGTCATTGAACCATAGTTATCTATGACTGAGACCTCTTCGCTAAACTGTGAGAGGGGGAACCATGCCCCAGTGACAGGGACTCACTTCTTCCTGCTCTGTTCCTCTCTTGCAGTCGTTGTTCTGACTGATGATAAATGAGTTGCAAGTTCATTGAATGGCTACTTATAAGGGACAGGACTGCAGGCCTACATACATAACACGACGATGATGTCCTTTCACAGACATGCTGGTGGGTACATAAGAATTCATCATATGGAATTATACCGAGTCATAATGAAAAATGAAAATATCAGGAAAATGGATAGATCTGGAAAATATTAACGGAGGTAACCCAGGTCCAGAATGACAAATACATGTTTTTTTCCTCATATGCATCCTAGCTGTTAATGATTGTCTGTATGTGGAGGGGGGCATGGTATGAGACTGGAAAGGTATTGAGTACGGGGGTAGGGTAGTAGAGTAAATGTGACATGAAAAATTAAAAATAAAAATGCTCCTGAGGGAGAGGAATGCATACAAAGGAGAGGATCAACAGAAACAAACTATGCTTGAAAATGCTGTCATGAAACCAGCCAGCTCAGCCTACAGTTGCTGTCCATTATGAAGGGATGTCAGGGCAGGAACTCACAGCAGGAACTGAAGGAGAGGCCACGGAGGAGTGGTGCCTTCTGGCTAATTTACCCTGTTTTTTTATCCAACGCAGGATCATCTGTCCTGTGGTGGCACTGCCCTCAGTGAGCTGGGCCCTCCCACATCAATCACTAACCAAGACAACACTCCGCAGACTTGCCTACCGGCCAATCAGGTGGGAGGATTTTCTCGATTGAGCTCCCTCTTCTCCGATAACTCTGGCTCACGTCAAGCTGACAGAAAACTACCGGGACAGGTGGTAAGCTTAGGATAAGTGATGTGAAAGGCACACTCGCATTTTAAAAATCTGGCTATGATCTGGGGAAAGGGGCTAAGCACTTCCCGATTCTGGCTCTAGTTTGTCTGCCAAGACTGTGGTTTTACTTATTTATTTTAAATTAATAACCATCTAATAAACTCATACATGACAGACAAAAACATTGAAATATGACATGTTATGAGATAAACTTGGAGGTCTAAATGATGTAAAAGTATCTAAATGATGCTTTGAAAATTCCTCTGTGAATTAGATACTTCAGCACTGAGGTTTACATGCACTAGTGAAGGTAGAATGGTCGGTCTGGAGGGTCCTGTGAAGTGAAAGAAGAGATGTAGTATGCACGACCAGGCAGGCTAGAAAATAATACTTCAAAAATCAGGCCTGGAGAGATAGTTCAGTGGGTAAAGAGCTTGCCACGCAACCGGGGGGGCCTGGAGTTTGGATCGCTGGTACTCACGTACATATTTGGGCAGATATGGCAGCCTGCCTATAACCTTTGCACTCCCAAGACAGAGACAGGAGCCCTAGCGCAAGCTGGGTAGCGATACTCGCCAAATCAGTATGCTCTGGGTTCAACTGAAACCGTGCTTCAGTATGTAAGGGATAGACGAGTTGATGACGAAGATATCAACATCATCTCTTGGCTTCTGTCCTCCCACATGCACGTGCACACATGTGTGTGCTCACAGGCATGTGAACACACAAACATATAACACACCATCATCATCCACGTGATTTTGTCCTCCTGAGATTTATGACTGTTCACTGGAGAGGGCTGTGGAGATGACATTGCTTACTAGAGGAGTGTAGCTTTGTGGGTTATCACTTAAGGCATTTCAAGTCATGGAAGGCACAACCAAAATGACTTCAATGATGAGATGATTGTTTTATTTAACATGGAATTCTGGATGCTGCACTTCCAGGGTTGGTTAATCCAAGACTCATGCCACTGAACACTCAGATGTTTCCTCTTTGTTTGTCTCTGCCACCTCCAACTGGCTGGCTTTGGCTTTCAGGCTTGCCCTTATGAGGTTTCTGGAAGAGATTCATTACACAGTGGTTCTATGGCACCATTGGTCATTACAGACACAATATCTTTCAAGAGCAAAGAAACTTGACACGGAAACAGAAGGGAACCCGGGGAATGAAAGAAACTAGCTGGAAGGAAATGAGGGGGCAGGAAAAAGGGAGACTTTGGGCAGATATGGTCGGCATACTTGACTTACTTTCTAGAAATTCTTTATGAAACTCGTCACTATACACGAT